ATTAGGTGTCCCCACTGGAAGATTTACTAATTTCCTGTCCCTGTGACAACTGTGCCATTTTGGATTTCCCATCACTTCCTGTTCCAGTGACACAAGCTCCCCTCACATCGGCTTGAAAAAGAAGGTTTAACCTTTGAAACGCGTCGCCGTCAGCCCGGTCTCCACGGGTCCTCAGAGTGTCTCCCACACTCCAGCTGTTCACGGACACCGCTCGCTCCTCGACACCCGGCTCCAACCCCCGGCACTTCTGCCTATGACCCGCTCCCCACGGCTCACGCCGCTACACCCGCATCACAGGCTTCTCCAGCATACGCCTGCAGGTCACAGCTCCGTCGGGCTGCCCGAAAGCCCCAACGTGAATTCTCCGTCACTGAGACTGAACATTTCGGCACCTCCAACCGCTCTTCAGTTCCCCCATCTAGGACCATCTAGGGCCACCCGTCGCTCCACCACTCCACAGCACCTGTCATCGGAGGACACCCATGCCAGGACTCCCGAGGACCACTCCACGGCCCACCGCCCAGGCACCACACAGGCCGCGCCGTCATCGTTGAGAGTCGCCCTCCACTATCTCCACGGTGAGTTACAGAAGCTCACCCCTTTTTCACCCACCATTGCATACCTCACCCCCTCGTGTTTGTATCCCCATTGGCCTACTGGGTCGAAACACCACGCCACCCTGAAAAAGAGGGACTACTACCACCACCACTCCACCCCATCCGCTTGACCACCACCCGACGATTACAAGCGAATACTCACCCAGCCTCAGGTGAGCACCACACTTACGCCTACACCCCACTCTACCACATTTATTGCGCTAGGTAGTGGCGCTTCCGTCTCCAATTTTTGTTTCCCTCCAGTGACACAATGACTGACCCCGCCCTCTTCTACACCCTGTGTGGAGGAGAGAGCTATGCGTCGAGCAGAGTGTGCTGTAGGATAATCAGCGGCCCCGGAGACTCCTCCCCCCTCTGACCCGATATCGATCTCTGCGCTGGAGATGGCGGATGATGCGGCAGTGAGCTGAACGCGGCGCGGCGACACCGGCCAGACACTGAGACTGTAATAGCATCGTTATTAATAATTGATGATGTCAGGCGCTCAGATTGGAATTAACCAGCATGCCGAGCAGCTTCCCCATCTGCAATGCAGAGTCTGTATAGACGGCCATGTGAGCCAATGAGGAGAGAGTGAGCAATGACATCATCAGAGCAGACGAGGTCACCGGAGGACCGAGATACAGACACTGATATGTTATATTGTACAGGAGTGACATCACCGCCCCCAGATATAAGATATATTATACAGGAGTGACATCACCGCCCCCAGATATAAGATATATTATACAGGAGTGACATCACCGCCCCCAGATATAAGATATATTATATAGGAGTGACATCACATATCTTCTATTTCCCGCCTCCTATATACTGTGTTGTGCCGGGTCCGGTGTGATATCTCTGTACACATAATATACTCGGCTGGCAGGAGAAATGGGTCACAGGTGAGATTCAGGTAACAATGGAAGTGGGGGAGGGGGATCCGCCATGTTTGAATTAATGTTGGGCAGTACAGTGACAGTTAGCAGTCAGTGGCAGTAAAGTGACAGTTGGCAGTCAGTGACAGTTGGCAGTCAGTGACAGTTGGCAGTCAGTGACAGTTGGCAGTCAGTGACAGTTGGCAGTCAGTGACAGTTAGCAGTCAGTGACAGTTAGCAGTCAGTGGCAGTAAAGTGACAGTTAGCAGTCAGTGGCAGTAAAGTGACAGTTAGCAGTCAGTGACAGTACAGTGACAGTTAGCAGCCAGTGGCAGTAAAGGGACAGTTGGCAGTCAGTGGCAGTGAAGCTGCAGAGGATCCGGTAACATTCTCCTCTGCACAGTTGTGTCCGGTGTGGAAGGCAGGCCGGGCTCTCTGCAGTATCAGTGCAGCTGCCAGTTGCTCGCTGGGATGTCACTAACTGGCAGTACATCACCGCCCCCAGATATAAGATATATTATACAGGAGTGACATCACCGCCCCCAGATATAAGATATATTATACAGGAGTGACATCACCGCCCCCAGATATAAGATATATTATACAGGAGTGACATCACCGCCCCCAGATATAAGATATATTATACAGGAGTGACATCACCGCCCCCAGATATAAGATATATTATACAGGAGTGACATCACCGCCCCCAGATATAAGATATATTATACAGGAGTGACATCACCGCCCCCAGATATAAGATATATTATACAGGAGTGACATCACCGCCCCCAGATATAAGATATATTATACAGGAGTGACATCACCGCCCCCAGATATAAGATATATTATACAGGAGTGACATCACCGCCCCCAGATATAAGATATATTATACAGGAGTGACATCACCGCCCCCAGATATAAGATATATTATACAGGAGTGACATCACCGCCCCCAGATATAAGATATATTGTACAGGAGTGACATCACCGCCCCCAGATATAAGATATATTATACAGGAGTGACATCACCGCCCCCAGATATAAGATATATTATACAGGAGTGACATCACCGCCCCCAGATATAAGATATATTATACAGGAGTGACATCACCGCCCCCAGATATAAGATATATTATACAGGAGTGACATCACCGCCCCCAGATATAAGATATATTATACAGGAGTGACATCACCGCCCCCAGATATAAGATATATTATATAGGAGTGACATCACATATCTTCTATTTCCCGCCTCCTATATACTGTGTTGTGCCGGGTCCGGTGTGATATCTCTGTACACATAATATACTCGGCTGGCAGGAGAAATGGGTCACAGGTGAGATTCAGGTAACAATGGAAGTGGGGGAGGGGGATCCGCCATGTTTGAATTAATGTTGGGCAGTACAGTGACAGTTAGCAGTCAGTGGCAGTAAAGTGACAGTTGGCAGTCAGTGACAGTTGGCAGTCAGTGACAGTTGGCAGTCAGTGACAGTTGGCAGTCAGTGACAGTTGGCAGTCAGTGACAGTTAGCAGTCAGTGACAGTTAGCAGTCAGTGGCAGTAAAGTGACAGTTAGCAGTCAGTGGCAGTAAAGTGACAGTTAGCAGTCAGTGACAGTAAAGTGACAGTTAGCAGCCAGTGACAGTTAGCAGTCAGTGACAGTACAGTGACAGTTAGCAGTCAGTGACAGTACAGTGACAGTTAGCAGCCAGTGACAGTACAGTGACAGTTAGCAGTCAGTGACAGTTAGCAGCCAGTGACAGTTAGCAGCCAGTGACAGTACAGTGACAGTTAGCAGTCAGTGGCAGTAAAGTGACAGTTAGCAGTCAGTGACAGTACAGTGACAGTTAGCAGCCAGTGACAGTTAGCAGTCAGTGGCAGTAAAGTGACAGTTAGCAGTCAGTGACAGTTAGCAGTCAGTGACAGTACAGTGACAGTTAGCAGCCAGTGACAGTACAGTGACAGTTAGCAGCCAGTGACAGTACAGTGACAGTTAGCAGTCAGTGGCAGTAAAGTGACAGTTAGCAGTCAGTGACAGTACAGTGACAGTTAGCAGCCAGTGACAGTTAGCAGTCAGTGACAGTACAGTGACAGTACAGTGACAGTTAGCAGCCAGTGACAGTTAGCAGTCAGTGACAGTACAGTGACAGTTAGCAGTCAGTGACAGTACAGTGACAGTTAGCAGCCAGTGGCAGTAAAGGGACAGTTGGCAGTCAGTGGCAGTGAAGCTGCAGAGGATCCGGTAACATTCTCCTCTGCACAGTTGTGTCCGGTGTGGAAGGCAGGCCGGGCTCTCTGCAGTATCAGTGCAGCTGCCAGTTGCTCGCTGGGATGTCACTAACTGGCAGTCATTTATTAAGGGATCAGCAGGCGGCCAGTCTGGGCCAGTCCCTGTGCCCATATGTCCGTGTCTGGAGGGGAATTAATCATTCGCAGGGACTCACATGTGACCCGGGCCTGGAAGGAGTCAGAGAAGTCTCCATCTAGGAGGCTGGCGGGGGCCCAGGTGTGACAGGTGCGGCTCCCTTACCTTGATATATAGATAACATTGCTGCCTTTCCTCTGTGCCGGTCCTCGGGGACACCACACTGTCACCTTCACTTCTACACACACTCCACTCCCACAATGCACCGGGAGGAGCCCGGCTTTTATATATCTGGACTTTGAGTTAATCCGTCTACCTGAGGCTCCTCCAGGAACTACAGTCTATTGTCCCCGGGAGGGAAAAGTGGATACACCTGTGTAGTATACCTGGACACAGCCCACAACTCACCTGTACAATGTACCTGGACACAACCCCACAGCTCACCTGTGTAGTATACCTGGACACAGCCCACAACTCACCTGTACACTGTACCTGGACACAACCCCACAGTACAATGTACCTGGACACAACCCCACAACTCACTTGTACAATGTACCTGGACACAACCCCACAGCTCACCTGTGTAGTATACCTGGACACAGCCCACAACTCACTTGTACTATGTACCTGGACACAACCCCACAGCTCACCTGTGTAGTATACCTGGACACAGCCCACAACTCACCTGTACAATGTACCTGGACACAACCCCACAGTACAATGTACCTGTGTAGTGTTCCTGGATACAATCGGATTCCTCATATGCATCTGTATAGCATATCCACGTACAGTCGGATACCTCACCTGTATAGACATACCGACTAAACACTGATACCTCATCTGTACAGCGTACTTCATCACAGACTGATACCGTACCTGTAAAGGGTACCTGGGCACAGGTCTGTTACCTAACACCTCAACAGGATCCCATCCTGACACTGGGACCCAGCACCTCACCTGTACCCCAACCTGACACCTGGACCCCACACCTCACCTGTACCCTATCCTGACACCAGGACCCAACACCTCACCTGTTCCCTACCCTGACACCAGGACCCAACACCTCACCTGTTCCCTATCCTGACACCAGGACCCAACACCTCACCTGTTCCCTACCCTGACACCAGGACCCAACACCTCACCTGTACCCTATCCTGACACCAGGACCCAACACCTCACCTGTACCCCAACCTGACACCAGGACCCCACACCTCACCTGTACCCCATCCTGACACCAGGACCCAACGCCTCACCTGTTCCCTATCCTGACACCAGGACCCAACACCTCACCTGTTCCCTACCCTGACACCAGGACCCAACCCTTCACCTGTACCCTATCCTGACACCAGGACCCAACACCTCACCTGTACCCTATCCTATCCTGACACCAGGACCCAACACCTCACCTGTACCCCATCCTGAAACTTGGATCCCATCCTGACACCTGGACACAACAACTTACTTGTACCCCAACTGGAACTAACACCTCACCTGTACTCCATCCTGACACCTGGACCCAGCACTTCACCTGTACCCCATCCCTACATCTGGTCGCAATACCTCACCTGTACCCCATCCTGACACCTGGACCCCACACCTCACCTGTACCCCATCCTGACACCGGGACCCCACACCTCACCTGTACCCCATCCTGACACCGGGACCCCACACCTCACCTGTACACCATGGTGAAACCTGCACAACATACACACACAACGTACCCAGGCACAATGGTCTATGATGGAATGTGACACCTGCAGGGGACCCTCACACAGCACCCAATATCTCCTCCGGGCCCACGGACACCCCTCATGTCTCCTGAGATAGGAGGAGGAAGATGAACGATACAAAATACAACCCAAGGTGTCAGAACTTTCATTCAGCTGTCAGAACCTCATCCGATATTCCTCACGGATCTCACATTTCAAGCTCACTGCCGATCGGAAGTAAATAATCTTCTCTGGAAATAGTTTGTGGCGCGGGTGTGCCGGGTGCAGCGAACGCAGAGAGCCCAATCAGATGTTAGATTAGCGGAGTCAGCTGAATTGTGATTGGCCGCTCTGAAATCATAAACATGTCATCACCACCCCGTGTATCATCAAGAGGACCTGTTGTGCACCCCTGTATGAACGCAGCACAGGTCCACTGTAAAGCGAAGTATGATGGAGATACTTTGTATTATTATCCTAATCCCCTCGCCTGTTATATATTCCTCAACATTTCAATCATTTTGTAGCATTTACTATAATAGATCCATTCATTGGCCGCGAGAAGGAGATCTGTGTTACACTGCAATCACTCAGCCCCCCCTGCTTAAATTATAATGAAGAAAATAAATCAGCCACATAGGAATTACATTGTATTTAATGGGTCATGGCTGACCAATAGACTTACATTGGAGCAGAGGAGCAGTAAAGTGCAGTCGCTTGCAGGAAGTGCAGCCCACATATGTGTTCCAAAGGCCGGCACATTTTAAAGATGGGGGGGAAGATGATGTTTAGAGACGGCATCCACCTAAGACTGAAATCATTCTGGAGCTGGAGATTTGCAGATGGCAGCCACCAAAGACTCACTCAGCTTTATTTACAATGCACCTCAGAGTGACATTTACCGAAAAGAATTGAAGTGACCTTTCCATTCCACATACTTGCCAATACGGCTTACCATGTGTGCACAACATCACTGCCGAGATAAAACTTCACCTCCATTGTTTACAACCAGTCAAACCTGACCCATAGACTTGCTGGAGAGCAGAGCAGTAAAGAACAAGGAAGCAAACCTGGATCACAAGTGAACAAACACGGCTTTTATCATGTGACCGCGGACGGCCGGATATCTAAAGATTGGGAAAGAGCTAAAATTTCCCCTCCAAATGATATTGGAGGATGAGCATCTCCTCCTACACTGCGCCAGGAAAACCTCAACAGTGCCACCAGCAAACAGCATTGCAAGTCACTGCCCGGGGCCACAAAGTGAGTTTGATTTGATGATTCGAGGCAATAAACTGCAGACAGCAGGACACCCGGGTGATAGTCTATGTACGGCAGCCATACATGACCAGGCCAAACCGACCCAAATGCCTGCTTCTCAGCAGCTGGAGGTCAGGAGGGTGTCTGCTGGGGAGATGAGTACACCTCTATGGGTTGTGGAGATGGGTACACCTCTATGGGTCGGGGAGATGGGTACACCTCTATGGGTCGGGGAGATGGATGCACCTCTGTGGGGTTGGGGAGATGGATACACCTCTGTGGGGTTGGGGAGATGGATACACCTCTATGGGTCGGGGAGGTGGATACACCTCTATGGGTCGGGGAGATGGATACACCTCTATGGGTCGGGGAGATGGGTACACCTCTATGGGTCGGGGAGATGGGTACACCTCTATGGG